CCCTTCTTGAGCCTAATCTGATGAGAGTAAGGTTCAAACAATGCTCCCCCCCCTTCTTTCTGCTGCTAATAGGATTTTGTGTCTTTTCCTGTAATGTAATTTACCCTTGTCTGCCTCCTCCTTTCTCAGTACCTTTCTAAGATCAGATTGATCCACTTATTTGGATCCATTTAACCCACTTGATTAGATTTTTTTTTATCATTACATCAAAGTCAACTAATATCCACCCTCTTTATGTATACTCCTTTAACAAGGTGTAATAACAATACAGTTCTCAAGGGTTGCAAGTCTCATATTCCCTTGTAGGGGTTTAAACAGCCCCCCCCTTATTAACAACATATTGTATCCTTCTGTCCCATTTACCTTTTTAAGTCCTTCTTGAGTCCTGTACTTGAAGATCAAATTTTTTGTTGAGCTCTGGTCTTTTTATCAGGAAAGTTTGGAAGTCTCCTATTTCGTGAATATCCACCTCCTCCCTTGAAAAATGATGCTCATTTTTGCTGGGTAATTGATCCTTGGCTGCATTCCAAGCTCCTTTGCCTTACAGAATATCATGTTCCATGCCCTGGGTCTTTTAATGTAGAAGCTCCTGTGTAATCCTGTGGTTCCATGATATTTAAATTCTTTCTTTCTGGCTGCTTGCAGCACCTTCTCTTTCATCTGGTAATTTTGGAATTTTGCTATTATATTTCTTGGCATTGTCAATTTGGGATCTCTTTCAGGTGGTGATCGGTGGATTCTTTCTATGGTTATTTTCCCTTCTGGTTCTAGGACTTCTGGGCAGTTTTCCTTTATGATTTCCTGAAAGATACTGTCCAGGCTCTTTTTTTCATCATGATTTTCAGGTAGTCCAATAATTTTTAAATTGTCTCTCCTGAGTCGATTTTCCAGGTCGGTTGTTTTACTGATGAGGTATTTTACATTTTCATCTATTTTTTCATTTTTTTGTTTCTGTTTGACTGATTCTTGCTCTCTCATAGAGACATTAGTTTCCATTTGTCCAATTCTAGTTTTTAACAGATTGTTTTCTTCTGTTAGTTTTTGTACTTCCTTTCTTCAACTGGCCAATTGTGTTTATTAGGGACTGTTTTCTTCAGTGTACTCTTCTGTTAGTTTTTGTCCTTCCTTCTTCAATTGGCCAATTGTGTTTTTTAGGGACTTGTTTTCTTCAGTGTATTTTTTTTCCAACTGGCCAATTGTATTTTTGAAGGACTCTTTTACCTCTCTCATTTGACTATTAAAATCCTTCTTGAGCTCTTCTAAGAAGGCTTTTTGGGCTTCAGACCAGTTCATATTCCCTTTTGTTGTTGCAGATGTGGGTTTGTTGACAATGTTGTCCTCTTCAGAATTTCTGTCTTGATCTTCACTCTTCTCATAATATGAATCTATGGTACATTTCTTTTTACTCATGGTGTTTCTTTATTCCCTGGCCTTTAAAGAGATTGAGCTCTCCTGCTGGGGAACAGAGGGTACTGACCCAAGCTTCTTGTGTTGGGAGCCTAGGTCTTGGTCACTGGCTTTGCGTTCTGGGGCCTCTTATGCTGGGAATTGGAGGCTGTAGGTTTCTGGCAGCTTACCTTGTGTTGGGCTGGAATCAGCAAGGCTGGAACTTTCAGGCAATTCTAGGTTGCCTGCTTTTCCTTTCCTTTAGCTTTCTTCAGCTCCTTTTAGATGGGTGCTGCAGGATGTTTATCTGCCTGGGGCCCCCTGCAGTGTTGTCTCCCTCGTTTCTGCTAATGCACCGGGAGATTCCTTTGCAGTGGATTGCTGAGACTCCTGGTGGTTTTCTGAGCTGGTTTCCACCGGTTCCCCCCCCCCCCTCACTGAGGCACTCGGAGGTCCAGGTGTTGGTGTTTCCCTGCTCTACCACCTGGGCTTCAGGATCTCTTCACAATTGGGGGCTTCAGGGCTCCTACAGCTCACCTGGTGTTGGGTTGGAATCAGCAAGGTCGGGGCTTTAGGAAGCCTTTAGGTTGTTTTCTTCACCTCCTTTCAGATGAATGCCACAGGGTACTTATCTGCCTGGGGCCCCTTGTTTTTGCTGAGGCACTGGGAGACCCATTTGCTGGGCTACTGCACTGCTGCTCCTTGTCTTTCTTCTAGTTCAGGTGTTCCAGGGTTTTTTTTTCTTCTGGTGTGATATTTTCTGGGTTTTCAGAGGTTGATAGGGGAGAGTGACAGCGACTACCTTTTCACTGCGCCATCTTGGCTCCCGGAAGCGGAAGTCCGCTTTTTAAATTTGTTAAATGAAGGGTTGGGCTAAGTAGTTGCAAAGATATCTTCCAATCACTGCATTCTATTTTCTAACATTCTGTCCTAAGGTCTCCTCCAGCTCTGACATTCTGTGTTCTAAGGGCCCTCCCAGCTCTCACATTCTGTGTTCTAAGGGCCCTCCCAGCTCTGACATTCTGGGTTCTAAGGGCCCTCCGAGTTCTGACATTCTGTGTCCTAAGGTCTCCTCCAGCTCTGATATTCTGTGTTCTAAGGGCCCTCCCAGCTCTGACATTCTCTGTTCTAAGGGTCGTCCCAGCTCTGACATCCTGTATTCTAAGGGCCCTCTCAGCTCTCACATTCTGGGTTCTAAGGGCCCTCCCAGCTCTGACCTTCTTGTTCTAAGGATCCTCCCAGCTCTGACAGTCTGTGTTCTAAGGGCCCTCCCAGCCCTGACATCCTGTGTTCTAAGGGCCCTCCCAGCTCTGACATCCTGTGTTCTAAGGGCCCTCCCAGCTCTGACAGCCTGTGTTCTAAGGGCCCTCCCAGCTCTCACATTCTGTGTTCTAAGATCCCTCCCAGCTCTGACATCCTGTGTTCTAAGGATCCTCCCAGCTCTGACATTCTGTGTTCTAAGATCCCTCCCAGCTCTGACATCCTATGTTCTAAGGATCCTCCCAGCTCTGACATTCTGTGTTCTAAGGGCCCTCCCAGCTCTGACATCCTGGGTTCTAAGGGCCCTCCCAGCTCTGATATCCTGTGTTCTAAGGATCCTCCCAGCTCTGACATCCTGTGTTCTAAGGGCCCTCCCAGCTCTGACATTCTGGGTTCTAAGGGCCCTCTGAGTTCTGACATTCTGTGTCCTAAGGTCTCCTCCAGCTCTGATATTCTGTGTTCTAAGGGCCCTCCCAGCTCTGACATTCTCTGTTCTAAGGGTCGTCCCAGCTCTGACATCCTGTATTCTAAGGGCCCTCTCAGCTCTCACATTCTGGGTTCTAAGGGCCCTCCCAGCTCTGATATCCTATGTTCTAAGGATCCTCCCAGCTCTGACATCCTGTGTTCTAAGGGCCCTCCCAGCTCTCACATTCTGTGTTCTAAGATCCCTCCCAGCTCTGACATCCTGTGTTCTAAGGATCCTCCCAGCTCTGACATCCTGTGTCTAAGGGCCCTCCCAGCTCTGACATCCTGTGTTCTAAGCCCTCTCCCATCTCTGAGGTTCTAAGGTCTGTTCCATCTCTGACATCCCGTGATCTGAGGTCTCTAACAGTTCCACCACTGTTGTCCTGAGGGGCCGCCTTGCTGTAATGTATGATTTTTGTGATTGGTGGAGAGGAGAGGGCAGGATGTTCCACTGAAAGGGAATGAAATTGGGAAGGAAAAGTGACAGGTGTAGTGAGTGTGAGTTAGAGAGTAGATAACAAATTGTAATATTTGTAGGAAGTTAGTTGGGAGGAGGCCCCTCCCTACCTAATGGCTGAATACAAAAAAAGAGTGGGGATGCTTAAGAACAGACAGCATCCCTAATTCTGTGTACCATAGGGGAAGATTCAGAATACAGAAGAGAGAGGTGTAGGTTCTTAGGCGGGGTGACTGTAGGATGGTGACACAATGGTCTAGACTGGGAATTTGGCAGGGGGATACACTGATTTGGGGAAGACGACTGTTCTTTGATTTTGGACATATTGCCTCTGATAGGGCTGGAATAGACGGCTACTTCAGAGGCATCGATAGAGGTAATAATTGAGAGAAGACATAGTATAGAGACAGAAGGAAGAGCGGATGCCAGAGGATGAAAGGAGGAAGAAGGGAAGTCAAAGGAAGGAAACAGAAGGGACAGCAGAGAAAGAGGCAGGAGAAGTTCCTGTAGGACAGTGTGAATTTAAGGACAGGTTACAGGCAGTGCCAGACGATGAAGACGGATGGATGAAGTTGTGCTAACCCTTGTTAAGCCTTCTTCCACCAAGCTTTTGTGGAGGCTGTCCATGTAACCAGAATGCTCTGCCTCCTCCTTTCTTGGGATCCCTAGCTCCCTTCAAGGCTCAGGTCACGTCTACTTTCTATGAAGCCTTTTCCAATCTTCTGCCTCTTCCCCCAGATTGTTAGTGTTCTTTCCCCAATCCCCAAAATTACAGTGTTGGAGCTAGAGGATCTCAGTTGGAATCCCACCTTTGCTGACTGTCTGTGTGACTTTTGACAAGTCTTTAAACCTCTTAGGGTTTTAAACTTCCTCTGTAAAAAGAGGAGGATTGAATCAGATGGCCTCTTAAGATGCCTTATGGTCTCTAAATCTGTGGGTCCTTGGACTCACCGCTGTATCATTCCTTCAGTAGAGTATAAGCTTTTTGAGGGCAGGAACTATTCCCTTTTTGTCTTGGGCTCTACCCAATGCCAAGCACAGTGCCTGGCACACAGTAGGCACTTAAATGCTTATTGGCTGTCTGACTGAAGAAGCTTGTTGGATTTGGCATCTGTGAGATCCTTGGTTTTTGAGAGAGCTCTCTGCCATTAGTGGGCATTTAGCAAATGCTCGTTGGCTGTTTGATTGGAGAGGCCGTAGGACTGGGAGATGGGGAGGTCCTTGGCCTTCAAGAGAGCTCTTTCACTAAAATGGTCAGGTCAACCTGCCCGAAGGTACGTGACCTACAGAGGGAGTGACCATAGAGGAAATGGACCACTCTCTTTTGTGTAATACACTGAGCACTTCCCAGGCTATTGTGCTTTGTAAACTTTGAAGTGGCACAGAAACAGAGGCTATTTTCATGATTGTTCTATTTGTTCATTTTCCACAGCTCTCTGCCCTCAGCCCCTACCATGGCCACAGCCGTAGCCCAGAAGCTCAGCCGCTTCTTCCCCAGTGTCCGGCAGCTGGGGCAGATGCCCAGGCTCCTGGGGGAGCTGGCATCCCCCTTGCCAGACAGTACTGTGGGCCGGGCTGAGGTGCCTCGCCTCTTCTGGAAGCCATATATCTACTCAGGCTACCGGCCCCTACATCGCACCTGGCGTTTCTACTTCCTGAGCCTTTTCCAAAAGCACAATGAGGCTGTCAACGTCTGGACCCACCTGGTGGCTGCCCTGGTGCTGCTCCTGCGCCTGGCCTACTTTGCGGGCACCGTGGACTTTGTGGGCGACCCCCACGCCCAGCCCCTCTTCCTCATTGTCCTTGCTTCCATCACCTATCTGCTGTTCAGTGCCCTGGCCCACCTTCTCCAGGCCAAGTCTGAGTTCTGGCATTACAGCTTCTTCTTCCTGGACTACGTGGGTGTGGCCGTGTATCAGTTTGGCAGTGCCCTGGCCCATTTCTACTACGCCATTGAGCCCGCATGGCATGCTCGCGTGGCGGCCATCTTCCTGCCCGCCGCTGCCTTCCTTGCCTGGCTGTCTTGCGCTGGCTCCTGCTATACCAAGTACCGCCAGTTGCCGGGGCTGCTGGGCCGACTTTGCCAGGAGGTGCCCTCAGGATTGGCCTACGCATTGGACATCAGCCCGGTGGTGCACCGCATCTATGTGGCCCAGGCCCTGGGCCAGGAGGACCCTGCCGTGCTCTATCATAAGTGTCAAGTGGCTTTTTTTCTTCTGGCAGCCGCCTTCTTCTCAGCTTGCTCCCCTGAGAGGTGGTTCCCTGGAAAGTGCCACATCTTTGGGCAGGGTCACCAACTGTTCCATGTCTTCCTGGTGCTGTGCACACTGGCCCAGCTGGAAGCCGTGGCCCTGGACTATGAGGCCCGACGGTCCATCTATGAAGGGCTCCACCACCGTGCCCCCCACAACTTCTCTGCCCTCTTCCTCCTGACTGTGATCTGTAGTGTCCTCACTGCCCTCTTCCTCAGCCACCGTGTGAAGCGGGAGCTCAGCTGCAAAGAAGACTGAAGGGGCAATGAGGGGGTGCTGGGTAGGGAGGGTGGAGGGGCCTCGGTGGGCCCAGCTCAAGAGCAAAGCGAGGAGAGCAATCAGACTACCGTAGAAGCCCCAGTAAAGTTGTTTGTATCTGGCCATTGGTGAATCCAAGTACCCTCCCCCCCCTCAGTGCCCTTCTTCTCCCAGTTCCAGAGGGGTGGGGGAGGATAGTAGATCTGGGCTGTGATAGGAAGATGGAATATGAAGCTTTAGGATGATAGGATATTTCTTTGTCTCCAGACTGGCAGACCACTCCCCCTTTCTACCCTGTCCTGTATGCATTCCTCACCCATCTCTCCTTCCATGGAGCTAGAAGAAATAGACTGGTAGGAGAGGTGAATGTGTTTGACTTGATCACTAGTAGGCATGGTCATGATCCCCTCCTTTCTCTGAAGTTACTTTGGGTACAATGGATGTGGCATGTGCTCCTGTCCTTTGGGCAAAAGGGGCATGCATCTGGGTGTCAGATTGGGTCAGAGGCAAAGCCCAGGGCTCTGAGGTTGACTGGAAGGTGAAGACAATGGAGCCACAGATGGATTTGAGAGTGGGGAAAGGAGGTTCTAGGGTGGTCTCAAGACTCAGCAATCCTCAGTGGTAGAGAGAAATGGGGAAAGAGATTTTAGGATGTTCTTGGGATTGAGGTCTTACACTCACTGGGACAGGGTACCAAAGCTTCCTTCTCTCCCAGCAAAGCTGGTGGGCACTTTTCAGCCACAGAAGGGTGCCTCAGGAGGTAGTCTGAAGTGAACAGAGGAACCAGAAGTTGAGTTGGAGGGCTACATAATAGCAGTACTGTTTCCTTCCCGGTGGACACCCTCCCTAGTCCCTACCCTTTGTTGTGTGAACATGGGGGAGGTAGAATTTTTTGTTTCCTTTCCCACTCAGAACCTATCCTTTTTATCCAAAGGTGTTTTCCTTCTTTGGGCTCTAGGCCAAAACCTAGATGAAAACTTAAAGGATAGGTCTGGCTGGCCTAGCCCACCTCTCCTAGCTGTCATGGGTCTCTCTTTCCTGGACCCTGGAGTTACCCGGTCTATCTCTCAGATGATCTCTGCTCAGGTCTTGCCATTCTGGGCTGAATTAGGCTTGACTTCTCCCTGAGCTGGGGGTAGTGGGGGTGGGGAATAGAAATCCTCTAATCCACCTTCTTCATTTAATGAGGAAACTGAGGCCAGAGATGAGAACATACCTGCCCAAAGTCACATGGCAATTTAGTGATATAACTAAGGTTAAAACTCAGGTTCTCTGATCCCCTTTCACTATACTGTGCTACAGCTGTCTGCTTGCTCTTCTTCCAGGGAGAGTCTCAGATCTTTTCAATGAGGCCCTGAGGACTGAGCTGAGGGAGGTACTTGGGGCATAATGCTGTCCTTGGGGGTCAGGGGAGACCCGATGCTACTGCTGCTACGTGTAGGAAAGTGTGTGAGTGGGCTGGGTAGAGATCCAGGCCCTTCATCTTAAGAAAACTGTCCTGATTGCAACTTCCTGCCTCCTGTCCTCTGGCCACAGCCCCACAGAGAGGTCCAGGAGGTTCGAGGGAGGAAGGAAGCCTAAGTCAGCCTTTCCTGAGACACTGGTCTGGCTGGGCAGCATGGGGCAGGGCTTCTTCTTTCGTGATTTTCCGGGCCGGTTGCCTGGACTGAAATGGGCCTTAATAAATATTAACTGAATTTGAATCTGTTGCCTGGCTGACCAGAGCCTTTGTCTGGGGAGGAACACAGTGTTCCTGGTCTGAGCCCAGAGCCCGGCTGGACACTGCAGAGCCCACAGCTCAGTTGACACGACCCGGGCTGGGATGTGAGGCAGGGGTCCAAGCCCGGGGTCTGCTCGTGGAGCGGGCCGTGGGGGCTGCAGGAGAGTAGTCCAGAGGAAGTAATGTCGAAGACTGAGCCATCACAGTCTGCTCGGCATCCAAATCTGGGACGCTGCGGGGGCGGGGCCAACAGGAGGGGGAGGGGGGGTCCAGCGACGGGGGCGGGGCCTGGCCAAACCTCGCCCACAGGCCCGCCTGGCACTGGCCGGGAGAAGGGGGATCCAGAGTGGGTGGACGCCCGTCCAAGAGGCTTGGGGGCGGTAGAAGTGGTGATGGGCGGGGCCTTAAATTGGCGAGGGAGAGGCAGTAAGGAGTTATGGGCCCGGAGCATTGTGGGTGGGGGCTTGTAGGCGGGGCTCGGAGGAGTCCAGGACTGGCCTCGGGCTAGTGGACTCGGGGAGGATTCCCTAGGTAACGGGGGCGGGTCTGGAGGCGGTGGGGGCGGCTAGGCGACTGGCGGTCTGGGGAGTGGCCTGACGCGTGAGGGCGTGGCTCGGAGGGTGGGCAGGTCCAGGGCGCAGGAGGAGGGGCTGTCTTGGGCCGTCCAGCACGCGTTTTTCTCGTTGGGTGCCGCGCGTAGCCCCGCCCATCGCGCCGGCGCGAGATACAAACGGCTCTTGGCGCGCGCTGAAGGTCTGTGTGAGGACGTGGTCCGGCCCGGCCTAGGAGGCCCTGGGCGACCATGAGGAGAAGAGGCCCCGCCGAGGCCGAGGCCTGCGGCGTGTGGCTGGATGCGGCGGCTCTGAAGAAGCGGAAAGTGCAGGTGGGCTCCGTGGGCTGGGGGGACCCTGACGCGGAGGACAGAGGTGAGGGGCGGGGCGTGTCCTGCTGAGGGCTCCGTGCATGTCATGAGGGACAGGGGTCAGGGGTCGGGGAATGCTTGTGTGTAGGAATGAAGGTGACCCATGGTGTAAATGACCCAAGGCTGACGATATGAGAAGGGGGCCAGGGACTCAAGAGAAGAGGGCAGTGTGGAGTTGAACTGGTCAAGGAGTCAGATGGGGAGTAGAGGAGAGTGGGCTAGTGCAGGCAGACGGCCTGGGAGAGAATTGGGGGCTCAGGGGATTGGGGGTGACAGTGCCGGGGAAGAGTTGAGTGATTGTGGTGGGATTAGGGGATCTGCGAGCTCTGCATTTGTGGGTGATGGCCATACCTAGGGTTTGACCATGTGGCTGGGGGGGGAGGTAGAATGGGAGCTCCCGTGGAGCTCGTGGGAAGTGAGTAGGTTGAGGAACGGCGTGGTTCGGCTGTTTGAGAATCACTGTATATTGAAGTCCCCAAGTACGAGGTCAGGAATTAGAGAGGAGGGGTGTCAGACTCACTGAGGAAAGAAGGGGAATGACCTGGGGAGTCAGGAGGCAACAGCTACCAGGATTTTGATTGGGTAGTAGATAGAAATAGCACGAACCTCAAAAGAAGAGAAGGCATGAGTGATAGAGGAAGGTGGAGAACCTGGAAGTAGTAATGGGGAGCAAGGAGTATTTCAGCTTGCCCCCGTAGACTAGGGAGCTGAGGAGAACAGATTTCAGCGTGTCCCTTATCCTTGCCTCTTTGCATTCTCTTGTTGGCGCCGTGCACTTTTGGGAGAAGAGAATTGGGACCAGAGAGAACAAATAAGGGGAATATAAATATACAATAGAACATGAGCACCATTTCTTGATTCTGTGGGAAGATATGACAATAATTGTTTATGTTTGTAGAGGGCTTTTACAGTTTTAAAGTGTATTACATATGTTGTCTTATTTGATTCTCACACCAGCCCTGTGAAGTCAGGTGGTTCATTATTACACCTGTTTTGCAGAAAACTAAATTCAAGTTAAGTTGACTTTAAAGTCATATGGCTTTGTGGGAGGAGTTCAGTAATGAAATTGAGATTTGAACCCCTTCTTCAGCCTCTACTTCCACCCATTTCTCTTAATACTTTCCACATTTAGACCAGCTTTCTTTAAAAAGAAGCTTTGTTTTCAAAGAAGTTAACAACCTTAAGATTTAGAAAGTGCTTCCATATAATGACCCTGAGGTAGGTAGTAGCAAGCATTATTATCCCCGTTTTACAAAGGAGAAAACTGAGGCTTACAACAAAATGAGAATGAGGCTTACAACTTTTAGAATTCTTTTGTTGACAGAACAAAAAAAGTGAACTTTACAATGATCTTATGGAAAGTATAATATAAGCAAATAAGCATGAGGGCTAAGATTTTAGTTGAAGTCTTCTGACTCAAATTATGTTGTACCGAGAAATCAGCGAGCAAGACCCAGACGTAATTTAAAATGTGGGTTTATTATCACGAGACTGCAAGGAGTATGCACACCCAAATCAAGCAGCCCCGTTCAGGGGTCGAGCTAGGGTTTATATGGAAAAGAGCATGAGAAAGAAATGCTGGCCCAGAACACTGATGAGGTAATCCAAAGGTGCAGGTGTCTTTGGGGGCTATGGATGGGAAAGTACAGGGAGTATATCGGACAGGGAGAGAGATGACAGAGGTATGGATCTTTGGAGTCTGGCAGGAGGAAGAGTCCTTGGCCTGGCCAAGGACAAAACTCCTTGGGCTGGGCAAGACACCCCTCTCCCTCTGTCTTGATGAGAGAATGCTCTGCAGTAAGGGAAAGCTTTCTCACAAGACAGGAACTTACTAAGGAATTGGGAGGCTTCCAGAGACATGATCTGAGGGCTGGGGCCTGAGAAGCCCAGCTCTGTGTAGCTGTACCAGGGAGAGAGATAAGGGTCATGCTGAGGGCCCATGCATGAATGACTGCTAGGCACAGTGTCCTTGGGCTGGGGAGTGGTTGTCAGAGACAGTGTTTCTGAGACTAGGGAGAAATTGGGGCACAAGTACAAGCACCGAGCACCCCATCATTACAGGTCAGAGATCACACAAACCAGACCAGGTGTCCTGGTCTCTGGTGTAAACATAAGTATCTAAAGCAATTATGTTGCAAGCTGTCTTATCCATTTGGTTGGAGGCTGTGCTGAGCTATGCAAGAGTACATTTCACTATTGTTTAGATTTAGGAGGAGAGAGGTCTGGGGCAAGATTAAGCAGTAATTTCATGGCTTAAAGGGCCCTACTACCTAAAATGGTAAAATAATGTTCTGCATTACAATTATATTCTGAATTTTTCACTATGCTTTGCTGGTTGAAGATATTTTCTGAAGTTATGTTTACTTAGCTTACTAATGCATAGAAGGAAATTGACTACCTACTCCTGAGCAGAAGGAAGCCTAAGTAAACACATAATATAGTAATTGGAAGATTCTCTAAGTTCCATAGGGTAGATAAATGTATAGATAGGTAAAGTATTTATTAAATGCTCATTATATACTGGCCTTGTGCTAAGCACTGGGGATACTAATACAATTGAGCAATACTGACCTTATCTTCAAGGAGCTTATGTTCTAATGGGAGAAGATGACTCTTTGAAATGCTACTAAGGCTGGGAGGAGAGAATACCCAGAGGGTGCTCTTTTGGGGAGCTTGACTGGATGTGGAGTGGAGACCTCAGTTTTGATGAGATAAGGCAGAGCTCACCTGGCAGAACCTGGGAAGCCTGGTGCTGAGTCCAAGGTTCTGGTGGGGAGGAGGTGTGGATGGTGGTCTGGGTAGAGAAAGCATGGTAAGGAGATGGACAGGAAGTAGTGTAGATGCCTGGATACTGACACAAACTCACCTTTCAGAGCTAAGGGACATAGATATAGAAATAGTGGTTGGAATAGAGAAAGCAGGGTGAGGAAATGGCCAGGAATTGCCTGGGATATAGTTCTAGTGGTTCAGTCCAGTCAGTTTTAACTGTAGAACACTGTAGAGAGTTGGGGTGAATTGCCGGCTGGGCCATGGTCCTGTAGATGATAGCATTAGAAAAAGCATGCTCTATAGCTAAGGTCTGCTTGATGACCTCAACATAGTACTCAAAGTCCCTGCCTTGTTTGCTCTTTGAGATCTGGGATACTTTTTGTTTGTGCACAGTCTTTCATCACCTTACCTGGTAAAAGTCAAAGTGATTTGAGGGGAAGTATCTATCATGTCAAAATTTAGATCTCTACATTGTCACATACTGTTTCTCAAGGCACATACCTATGACTTCCTCAGTGACCCTGCCACTAAATAAATAGACCTTTTTGTCCTTGTATGTTCCTAATGTTCCAGAAGCATCGGTCAGTGGTATGAACCATCTCCTCAGTGACAAATACCTGACAAATACTCTTTGTTGACATTAAGGAAGTATCCTTCACAAACTCCAAACCATAAATTACTTAAGAAAGAACTTCTTGTTTTACAAAAATTGCTGAGAAAACTGGAAAGCAGTTTGGCAGAAATTAGATCTAGGGTACCACCATTCTCCTAGTCATCCAGGTTCTTAATTCTCTTCTCCAAACTCTGCTCACTCTCACTTCAAACATAGGAAAAAAATAAGCATGTATTGAGTTCCTACTAATTGTAAGCACTGGGCTACTTTATAAATATTGTCTCATTTGAGCCTCACAACAACTCTGGGAGATAGGGGCTATTATTATCCCTATTTTACAGTTTGGGGAAATTGAGGCAGGCAGACATTTTTAAATGACTTGTCCAGGGTCACACAGCTAGTAAGTGTCTTTGGCCAAATTTGAACTCAGATCTTCCAGGTCCAGTGCTTTGTCCACTAAGCTACTTAGTAGCCTAACAGTTATATTTAAACAGTTGCCAAATCTTGTCATTTCTCTTTTTATGACAGCTTCTTTCACCTCTTTTTCCAACATGTTAAAGCAATTTTTAACATTTGTTTTTTTAAATTTTCAGTTCCAAATTCTCTTCTTCTCTCCCTCTCCTTCCTCTTCATTGAGAAGAAGCAATTTGATACAGGCTCAGCAGCTTCTTTTCACTCACATAAACAGCCACCGCCCTAGTTGAGGCATCATCACTTCTAACCTGGACCATTGTAATAACCTTCTAATTGGTCTTCCTGCCTGAAGCCTCTCTCTACTCCAGTCCATCTTCTACATAACTGCCAAAGTGCTAAAGCACAGGCCTAATCATGTCACTTCTCTTCCTCCCATATAATAAACTCTGCTAGTTCCACAGTTACCTTCAGGATCAAATATAAAGTCCTATGTATTCTGTGATCTAGCCATGTTGGCTTATTTGCTGTTCTCCTCCTTTTCTCCTGTCTCTGAGTCTTTGTCTTGTCTCTCTCCCATGTTTGAAATGTTTTCCTTCTTCACATGTGTCTCTTAAAATCACTGGCTTCCTTCAATACTTGGCTCAAATGCCACCTTCCACAGGTGGTCTTCCCCTCTAAGATTACCTGCCATGTGTTCACTATGTGTCCTGTGTGTGCCTGGTTATTTATATGTTGTCTCTCCTGTTAGAATGCACACTCACTGAAGAGAGGAGCTATTTTTGCCTTTGTATTCCCAGTTCTTATTACCTGGCCCATATTTAAATGCTTATTAACTGATATTTTGTAACAAATTCAATGGGTATGTGACCTGAATATTAAAGATCATGCTATAAAAATTAGAAGAGAATCAGATCAGGTACCTTTCACAGCTGTGGCTGAGAGATGAACTCTAAATCAAACAAAGGAGAGAGATGATCACAAAAGAGAAACTCAGTAATTTCAGTTACATGAAGCTGTTGATTGGAAGAAAAATCTTTGCACCAGATATCTCTGATAAGAGTCTAATATCCAAGATACATAGACAACAGAAATATATGACTGAAAGTCATATTTCAGTTGACTAGTGGTAAAAGGATATAAACAAAATGTCTTAGAAAGAAGAATTGCAGACTATTAACAGCCATATGAAAGATGACTGCAGCACTAATAATAAGTCCAAATCAAAACAACTCCTCCATCAAATTGGCAAAGGTGACAAAAGATGGGAATAGTTAATATTAGAGGGGTTATGGAAAGATAGGAACACTAATGCTTTGTGAAGTCATGAATTGGTCTAGTCATTCTGGAAAGCAATTTGGAATCATGCTAAGAAATGACAAAAATTTCCACATTCTTTGACCCAGAGATCCCACTGCTAAGCATATAATCCTGGGAGGTCAGTGATAAAAGAAAGGCCCCATACACACATATACACAATTACATATGCATATATATATATATATATATATATATATATATATATATATGTAAAACAGTACTTTTTTTGTAATAGCAAAGAATTGGAGACAAAGTATATGCTCATCATTTGAAGAAATGAATAAATGTGGTATTTAAGGTAAGGGAATATTACTGCTCTGTAAGAAGTGATGAATCTGATGAATATAGAGAGAAACTTGGGGAAATTTATTTGCAGAAGGAGTAAGCACAACCAGAAAAACAATATGCTCAGTGGGGATGAGGAGATGGGGGAAGGGAAGGAAATAAGCATTTATATAGCACCTGCTGTGCACTAATAACTTTCCAAACATCTCATTTGAGCCTTCTAATGATCCTGAGAGATAGGTACTACTATTATCCACATTTTACAGTTGAAGAAACTGAGGCAAACAGCTGTTAAGTAAGATGTCCAGGGTCTGAGAAAGGATTTGACCTCAGGTCTCCCTGATTCTGGGCCCAGTGCTCTAATCACTGTGCCACCTAGTTGCTATAACAATGTAAATAAAAACAATGAAACAATTAAAACGTAATGTTGTAAAATATTATTACTAAGCTTGACCCTAAAGAAGATAAATGGAAAAGGCTTGTCTCTCTCTCTTTGTAGAAGTGAGGGATTATGGGTGTGGAATAATATATATTATTATATAATTTCAGGGTTTTTCTAGAAGTGTTGGTTAGTTTTGATGAACTGGTTCCCACCGCCACCTTTTTTTTTTTTGTTAAGGAATAGCTCTTCGAGAAAGGGGAGGGGAAAAGGATATTTTGAGAAGTGTAGCTGATACAAAACAAAAGATATAAATACAGATTTACTTTTTGAAAAAAAATGCTCTTAAATATGTTCTTATAGGTGATCACATAGCTAGTAGGTAGTAGTTAATGGGTGTTTAACCTAGATCTTTTTCTTCATCTTTATTTCTTTTTAAAAATTATTAACACCAAATAAAACGAGAATTTCATATAAATAGTAGAACAGAAAAAGATTTTACACAAAACTCTTACGTGTTCCTTTTCTTTTTAAGTATATAATAAATTAAAAATGTAATTTTAAAAGCAGTACTATTGATGTTTTTCTTTTGGGCTTTCCTTCTGGGGTATTTTTTTTCCCTCCCTTAGATCCTTCTAGGAAAGTAAATCTTTCTGATACATCAGGCCAACTTGGGAGGTGGCTTTGTGACCAAGCAGAACCAGGAGCTGCCATCTGGAAATATTTGCTTGCTTTTCCTACTAGTAGTATTTTTTTTTTAAAAATTCAATCAATTTATTAGAAAACAATTGAATAAAAAACTAACCAACAAACATTTATTAAGTTCCCATTATGTGTCATACATTATGCTAGGTGCTGGAGATACAAAGAATAAAAAAATTTATATTCTAACAAAAAAAATAACAAACTTCCCCTTGATGAATCCAATATCTCATGTTGTATGGAAACGCAAACTAAATGTTTACAAAATTACTGCATTTGCCATTTTAAATGTAGTATTGTTTGATGTAGACACAGTTTAAAATAAGCCACTTAGTAAATGTCTGCTGGGTAGTTATTAAAACCAAAAGGATTTTATTTTCTACCATTTTGTAATAAATGATAACCATTATGTCCAGAGATGATAGTTCTCATCATTTGAACCAATTGGTCTAAATCCAAATACATGCTTCAACATATATTTGCTGTGAATACTACCTTTTAGTAAGAGAGATCACAAGTCCCTTCTGTGACCTAAAGAGTTTCTGTGACTTTGAGAGTTTTAGTATTCAAATAATTTAATGTCAGCAGTCAATCTGGTGACCTTGCTAGCATTTCCGTAGATACAATAATTCCTTTCTACCTCAGTGCCTTTGAACAAGTTTTCCCTCATGTCTGGAAAACATTTCCTTTTCACCTTGCTTTATAGAATCTTTTCAAACAACACTTCCTAAATGAAATTCTTCTGTATTTGCCTAGTTTTTATCATTCTCTCCTACTTGCAATTATTTGGTAAGTACATTTTGCTTGCTTTAGCACATTTTTTTCTCTTCTCATCAAAAAGAAGGTATGCTCCTTGGAGTAGTAGTAGTATTTTCATGGAGAACTCTAGCCAGCCTCTTGAAAATTCACATTGCTAAGGATAAACATTATTAGGTCAGAGAGAGTAGCTATTGACCCATCCCTACTGTTGGGAAAAACAACTCAAAGTATATGGTTCTACTGATCATGGTTAATAGTATCAACAGTATCATACCTGAAAAAAATTATGGTTTTGTAATCAGGCTGAATATTTCTAGGGAAAGGAAACAAAGCTGGGCTGTATTGGAATACACTGTTCCCTAGAAAACTAGCTGTGAGGCAAATAAGAAGTACAAGGTAGGTGGTTCCTGAAGCAAACTGCCCAGAGAACAGAATAAAGTCAACTCAGTCAAGAGAGACGAGTTCACTAGACTGGAACAAAAGGGTTATAGAGTGTCTCATTTCCAGCTGATGTTTTACATTTTCTTTAGAGCTGATGATCTTTTCCCTCTTTTCTTCTTAGACTCGATTATCCAATCCCATCACCAGAATGCTGCCTCCAGCTCGAGGTGAGAGAGAAGCTATTGTTGGTTTTACTCAAAGAAGAGCTCAGCCTGTGGGTACCAAGCAGACTCTCATTGCATCATTTTTTGCTTCAAAGTCAGGTACTGACCACTCTGGGGGGCAATTGGAGTCCACTTTATTTAGTTCTAGAATCCAAGAATGGAAATGTGTAGGCAGCTGTTCTTTAATGGAAGGAGCACACGCCTGAGTTCAAGAACTGGCTCTATCACCTTTATTGGGTATGTGACCTTAAGTCACTTAAGATCTTTAAGCCTCAGTTTTTCCATCTATGAAATGGGGGTAATCTTATACCACCTACCTTTTGTATTGATTTGCATTATATGGGAATCAAATAAGATAATGTGTATAAAGCACTTTGTAACCACGAAGCATTATATAAACAGTAAGTATTCTTATTAATATTATTATTGCTCTCGTAATTGTTAATAATATAAAACTGAAGTAGCCCATGCACAGTTCTGTAAGAAATAAGAATGAGTACCACTAACCATAGGTATTAGCTGAATAAATATGTCTGTGATATGTATCAGGACACCTTTGAAAAGGCAGCATATGGTACAGTGGAAAGAAAGGAAGTCAGGAAACCAGGGATTTAGTCCCAGTCCTGCCCTTTACTCTCTCTGCCACTTTGATCAGTCATGTCTCCTCTCTGGACCACAGTTTCTCCCTCTATAAAATGTAGGGCTTAGCCTAGATGATGTGTAATGTCACTTTCAAGCTATTAAATCATTATTATAATAACCAGATATAAACTGTAATGTCGCCAGATGAGATGAAGTGGATGTAGTTTGGAGAAGTTTGTGGTGGTGACTTTCCTAGCTGGAAAACCTTTGGGTATGTTACTGGTATTGTCATGGCGATTCCTAGAGCCAAAGGCCCTTTCAAAGTTATGTATCCAAAGGTAGGAGAATCTCAGACCCCATCCTCATCTGTCTGGGGAGGCTGAATACAGATTATTCATTGCCTTTTATCATTGTTTAGCTGTCTTAACATGCTTACAGTGCCTGGTTGGCATTGGATTTGGATGTGGAATCTCTTCCCATGAAGTCCTCAAGAACAAAGAGGAACTGGTGCTCTCCTTCAGTCTGTTCATAGAGGGCTGCCCCATGATCTGAGACCTGATGTCATGGTTATGTTTGTGCTTGGCATTTCCTGAGAGCACTAAGTAAATATGTAGTCACTGTCACTATTTAGCAGAGCACCAAGCTTTTGTCCTGAAACTCATCTTAGGATACCAATAAAGTAACATTTACATTTTAATAGATGTCAGCTGTGTTATACTGTTTTGGAGCTAGAAGGAACCTTAGAACATAGACTAATTGGAGCTAGAAGAGAGATCATCTAGACCAACCCCTTCATTTTAGAGAGGCAAAATGAAGCTCAAGAGAGGTAATGTGATTTGAACAAGGCTTCACAGCTAGTAATGACTACACCTGGACAAATGGACAAATAAACAGGGTGTACTGGCTTTTAGTCCAGCTTACTTTCCACTCTCCTGTGTTTCCTGATTGATAAATGAAAAATAGACTTCAGCAAGTTTTATCTTTCATTGAAATGAAAAAATAGTTTTTCAATACAGTGGAGATGTCAGTTTCTATTTTTGGAAAAAAATTAGTTTTTCAAAATTATCTTGGTGCCAATTCATTTGGTAAAATGGGGTTTTAAAACATTACAATATTTTGATTTATATACAGCTTTTTGGGAACATGTGTTAACGTAATGTGAAGTGCATGTGCATCCTATAAAGACATCTAGCTGTTTGTAGGCTGACCCTGAGCAGGCTTTAGGAATCCAAAGACTTCCTGTAAAATGATAAGGATTTTCTCATGGTGGCTTATTTTTCAAATGTCAGGCATCACAGAGGCCACGCAATGGCCTAGATATCCACGCAGTGATTAGGATGTGTAGCTGCATTTCAGTCAGACCACTAGACTTTTTCAGATATATTGTTTTTCAGGAAAGGCAAATGATGGTGGGCAGGGAAGGCCTGCACCTGGTACAGCAAGTCAGAGAAAGAAGAAACAGAAAAGAGATGTGATGTTGTTGGATCCTCTGTTGGGCCCCAGGGATGAGTGTGCCCAGTGTCCTGAAACTGCAGCTGCTAAAGTCACTAAGGAACCTCAGGAGCTTATCTGCTCTACTCCATCACCCAAAAAGGTATCTGACTGTTGCAGAGAGGCAAGACCAGCTGTGCTCAGTAGCCAAGACCAGAAACTGCCTCTGCCCCAGGTGGACATTGCAGGCTCTGCTGAGGTGGGTTTTGCCTTCACCCAGCACTCCAAAGGCCTTGGTGTGCTAGCCCAGGGAAGGGAGGGTGGGAAAATACATCATAAACAAGGGCAAGAGACCAAGGGCCTAGTGGACAGGGCAGAATTGGAGAAGGTGTTATTTTCCAAAGAAAATGAACAGTTCTCTGTCCTTCCCCAAAGTCACCAAGGAGGCAAAGCAGGGAAGGGGAGAAAACAGGGAGCAGCCCTGGAGGGGAGGGGACACAGAGTTAGTAGAACAAAGACCCTGCTCCAGTCAGGCCTTTTCTTGGGATGGTAAGAGGTATGACCCAGACTTGAAAAGCCGATTGTTCACAGAAGATTCCCAGGGCCAGAGGGTCATTGCTCACCCTCCTCGAGCTGCTCTGCAAGATATAGCCAACTTTCCAAGAAAGCCCCTGCATGCATCCCTCAGTTCTCAGGTTCAGTGCCAGGGCAGGTCTGTCCTGGGCACCTCTCAGTTAAATTCCCAACCTGATATGCTCTTTACCCAGGACTCTCAAGGTAACAGAGTTATCAAGCACTGCTTTTGAACTTTGTTTTGGTGACAGGGCATTACACCCTTAAGTATCCAGATGATAGAAAAACACCCTGATAGCCTTGTGTTGTGTAGTCATTTGGGGTGGGGGTGGGGGGGTGGTAGTCTCAATATAGGCCCTAGTTCTGGATTTGAGGGAATGCAGGCAGTGCCAAATGAAGGCAGTGTTTAGCTTCATTTTATGAGCTTCTTCATCGTGAATGTAAATAAAACAGGCACTTTCACTTGTTGAGGGAGTGGTTTTGGAAGAGACAGGTTGGCAGACACCCTGAGAGAATTATTGGTCTCTTAGCTCTTTGACGAGAACTACCACATTGATTTGAATATAGACTGAATCTTCTCCTAAATCTAGCTAATATTAAAACTGAATGTGGCCTGTCATTGGTGTTATTTTTCAGTGTATGCCTATATGCCATTTCCTTTCAAAGAGATCTGTGGAGTGACCATGGCAGTTAAAGAAAACACTTTTGTGTGCAGGCTGTTCTTACTGTAAAGAAAACCTGCCAGGTTTGATTGACTTGGACCTTTCAAGTGCTTCTGGCTTGGTTACAATTTGATTTCTCCTGGCTGTAATTCCATCAGTATGTCCCTCATCCATACAGCAGAAGCCCTGCTTGCTTGCTAGAACTTTGTGTTAATTTTAACCTGGGGTGAGAACTGGTTTTTAGAGCTTTGAGGATCAGTTGAAACTCAGGTGGAAAGTGTGGTCCATGATTCTCCCTTATAATCTGTTTTTGATAAGCCAGTTTCTGGGATTAGAGACATACAAGATAGTGACCATATGTTGAACCCAAACCAACTCCAGCCCTTTGAAACCCTGGGGACTGTGGCAGCCCCGTAGGAAGTGCTGGGTTTCAGAAAGGTGCACATACCCAACAGCTTTGTGAGGCAAATTATTAGGGCACGTGTTGAGAGGAGGTTGAAATAGAGGTGAAGTGATTTATCCAATAGTCATACAGTTTGCAGCTCTGACAACTATAATCTGAATCTCTTAGCCCCACTACTTAATGACACGAGATTTGTGGAGTGGGAATGTGGTTCAGGTCCCAAGTACAAAGTCTCTAGAAGAGTAGTATGTTTCAGACTTGTATGACATAGAACTGTAATCTCTCCTTTGTTCCAACTCTGTGCTGATCTGTAAATGTAGCTTGCACAAAGACAAAAAAACTTTAAATACAAAGATCAGAAGAAGAAAGCAAATTATTTTGGAAAGTTCATTTTTTAAAAATGTACAGTTACAGTTTTATGGTTTGCTTTGCTATTCAATTCCATATTGTTAAATCTGTAATAAAATTTTTAAAAAAAGTGGATTGAATCAAATGGTCTCTGGGGCTCTATCAGCTCAGTCTAACATTCTGTGAGTCTAAATGGCCCCTCCCCCACCTTTCCTGGGCTCTAACCTGCTGTTATTTCTTTAGATACTATATAACAAGCTCTAGTAGGGTTTTTCAAGTACAGGTAGAAATCATTAGGGGGTGGCTGTGAGGTGGGGTCTGAATTGTAATGATGGAGGTTGGCAGGCTTTTTCAACCTTTGATGATGTGGTTCTACCTTAAAAAGTTATTACGTACGCACCTCTCAAAGAGTGGACACAAAGTTAAGTATGGGTAAAAATAACATTGAATTGGAAGCCCATCTTATTTTGATAGATGTGAGTATTCCCTTCACCAGTGCAGACTGCAATCCATCTAAGCAATGCTGTTTTGTGGCCTTTCTCTGGTTCCTCCCACATTTTGGAGGAACTTGAGGTCCAGAAAAGTTAATTTACTACATTAGATATAGACACCACCAGTTCAGAGCTCTTTAACATTGGCTGCTTGTAATATTCCCTTGCCAAAAGAGGGTTAGTTTAGTTCTTGCTCTCCCGTGGAAGAGAAGAAAAATTTTTCTAAGACCTACGTGCCAGGCACTGTGCTAAGTGCTTATTATCTCATTTAATCCTCACAACTGCAGAAGAGAAGTGAAGTAACTTACCTTGGGACAAACAGCTAGCATTTGAGGAGCTTAACTCAGTGCCTAGTAAGTGCTCATTTACTGACTGAGGCTGGATATATGAATGCAGGTCTTCTTGACTCTTGGCCCAGCTCTGTACCCACTGCCCAACAAGCTGACTGTGGGACTACGCTTAAGTCAGATACACCATTCAATTTCAGGTTGGAGGGAGAGAGGTAGGAAGATGGTGTATTTAGAACTTCCTGCTCTGTTCTGGATGGGAGGGAAATATGGATGGGATAATAGAAGTCTGAGGTCTGCCTGGTCAAGAATAGACTTAAAAAGGGACTTTAGATTGCTTAATCCTGCCAACTGAGTTTGCCCCCAGCTCAGTGTTTTGTTTTTTCCTTTCTCTACAATTCAGTTTATGCTATGTGGAAAGGACCTGGAAGGTATGGACTTGGTAGGGATGATTCCTTATCACTGGGGAAATAGCATGACCGAAGCTGTAGAAGTGACCTGGATGAACATCTCAAAGTACAGACATACATAGCAACCACGGTAACCACTCAAAAACTTTCTTTAATACCAGGTAGTGCTTCACCCCAAACATCACACACGTGCACACACCTTTACTAAAGAGGTCCCAAGGAAGGCTGGGTCATGCATTTAAGTGTGGTGGGTGAGGACTTTGGCATGACCTAACAGGGGTTCAGGTATGAGAAAAAGTAGCCCCAAATGAAGCACAGTCCCCTCCCATCTTCCTCGATGAGATCCCTCAATGGCAGTGGAACAAGACATCAATGCCATGGCAATGGGGAGGCCATAAGGATCTTGGGGAGGTATGGAAAGATTTGGTTTCTTTACAATATTACAAAATGTGTTTTAAGAAGAAAAAACAGCCCTGGCCTGCCAGCAGCAGCCTGTTCATGAGGTGGAGCTACAGGACCTGTAGAAGGCCTGAGCACAGCTGGGCGTTGGTACATGAGTGCAGGGGGCAAGTCTTGGTTTATGACTGGTCCTGAGAAGACCGCAGGGCTCCTCAACACCCTCATCCCCTGCAAGGAAGCAGCTGAATCTGAGGGACATATTGCATGTACCCAGTCGAGACCAGGAGCTGGGTAGATAGTGCAGTGAAGCTAGTCATCGGTCTGGGGCCTATTTTTACATGAGGAAAACAAAAACTCCCATCTTGTTCTTCAATGTAAAACAACCAAAGCAACATGACAGATTATATGCAAGCCCTCAACTCAAAACTATTTTTAGAACACTGCCCTTAAAAGTTTTGCTAAGGTTTGAAGTGTGGGGAAGCAGTTCAGCTTTTCTCTCTTCTCCCCATTTCTAGCCTGTCAGTATTTTCCATTGTGGAAGGACATTTCTAACTGCAAGGCAGAAGTATCTGCTGTAAGACAGCTTATAGAGAAAGGGCCATATATAGGGCGCCATAGAAAGGATTATCAGTTTCCTTTCATGCTGATATCCTCTTCCTTCAGAGCAAACTTTCTCCTCAACACCTCTGAAATGAGGACAGCAGGATCTTCTTCCTTTATCAAGCTCCGATTCCTAGAGGTACAAAGGGTAAAACAATCAGCAGGGAGCAAGATTCATAGGCTGAACAGGGTTGGGGCGTAATCAATCCAGGCTGGGAGGTACTGCTTACAGACCCTACATTTTGATAGCTGATACTCTACTACCCACACAGCCTGCAGGTGTTTTGTTAACCCTGCTGTCAGCTTCTGGCTATCTCACTGCCTCTTTCTCTCTCTCTCAAGCTATTTTAATTCTCAGCAATTCTGGGAAAGGCTGTGTTGAGGGCTTATTCCAGGGGGATCCTGGGAGTTGGCTTGACAGGAAGGAGAATGCAGAAGCACATAAACTTCTTATCATGAGACCAAGGGGAAACCAACAGGGCACTGGTGGAAAGAAGAGTCCTAGTAATTAGGCTGGCAGAGACCTGAAGAGATCATCTAAGTCCCGAACCATCCGTTTTATGGATGAGGATAAGGTGACTTGCCAAAGAGTAAGTAGCAGAGATGGAACCAAGGTCCTCTAAATCCAAATTCTTAAAAGATCTGGGTTTAAGTGCTAGCTCTACTGCCTATTCCAGGAATTGTCTTGGGCAAGTCACTCCTTCCTCAACAGCCTCCAATTCATGTGTAAAATGAGGATAACAATATTAGTACTATCTACACCTTACAACATGATGGTGGGAAATAATGATAAAGTGTGTGTGTATATATGTATGGATACATGTGTTAAATAAATGTGAGCTATTAATGAGCAGGCATCCAGACACCTGGGAAACAGATGCTTCAATTAAATATAAATACCTAAGTACAATGAGGTGGTAATGGGTAACAGAAGTTGTTTAAGACTAGAGCTGAGCTGAGGAAAACCCCAAACAACTAAGAATTTTCAGAGAGTGAGCCTCAACCCTTGGCCTCGATTTGCTTTGTGGACATAAAAGCTGGGGGCAGCTTACTGCCCTGGGAGTCTTGAGGGTTGGGCCATCGAGATAGGAAAGTGGGCAGGAGATAGTGCTGGGAGAAGTCTTAAAGCAGAGCTACAGATCACATGGTGGCTTATCAACTGGCTCCCATGGGAATGGGACAATTGAGGCAGAGGCATGATAGCCAGACACCTAGGTCCCTACAGGTTTGTTCCCACAAACTAAAGAATCATAGAATCAGACTTTAGAGCTAGAAGGCCCCTGAGGGATGAGGATACAGGCTCAGAGAAGGACTGATCCAAGGTTACAGTTACTTAGTAACAAAGCCTAGACTAGAACACAGGTTTTCTGACTCCCAGGACAATGACCTGCCTATTACATCATCTAGTCTTTCAGGAAAAGACATGAGGGGTAGCAATGGCATGCTAGTTGCGTTTTTGGCATAGTTATTTCCTGAAAATTGAACTGGGGAACATGTGAGGGAACCACAGTTAGCACAGAACCTCAAAGCTGAAATGGGCATTAAGTCCAGCTTACTAGGATCAAGAAGTTGAATTCTTGAGGTAATTGAAAACCCAGTAACAGTCCTGGAGAAGAGGTGATAATACAGATCTCCCACACCTCACAGCAGAGAGGCAGGAAGAATGTAAGGGCAGAATACTGTCAAGATGTGGTCACTAGAGCTGATATTTTTGGTTGAGTATTTTTCTTTGTTACAAGGTAGGGTTCAATCTGGATGAGGGACTTCTAGAAATGAGTGATGTAAAAACAGTGTATCAATAAAACATTAAAAAATAAAGGCTTTCAGGGTCGAATAAATGCTCTGGGAAAGGCTGGGTTAATTACCCCCATTTAGAACTACATTAGGAAAGACCCATTAAGCTGCTTGCTTTGGGCAGACAGAATAGCAGTCCCTTCAGAAAAGCTCTATTGAACAAAGTAAGAAATGTTTCCCCTTCAGCCTCCAAAAGCAGTTTTATTCAGCACAGGGCCTTCCACATGAGTAGATATTACTGAACTGAAATACAGTAGTTCTGAAATCTGTTAATGATGATTTCCTCAAGCTGAGGTTCCATGGCTCCTTGGTTAGGAGAGTGTCCCTTGTCTCCTTTGCTTAAAGGTAAAGAACCTCAAACTTTTCTAATCAAGAGGTCTACTGTTCAAAGAACAGAATTTCCAACTCTAATTTTAAAGAATGATGGAGACTGGGGTTGCCTAAATATGAAAGAGAAGGGGTGGGGAGAGGAGGAGACAGAGGGAGGGAAGGGAACAGGGGAGAGGGAGAGAGGGAGATTGTGAGAGTAGGAATGTAAGCATTTGAAAGAATAAGGAAGATGCAGAACAAGCCTCCATCACAGTGAAATATTTAAGCATAGACTGGATAACTACCTGTCAGGAATGTCAGTGGGGTTGTATAGCAGCTCTCTAAATCTGAGCCTTCCAGGTCTGAGATTTTGCTTCTATGGCTACCACATTAAATAAGAGGCTGTTCTGTGCCAAGAAAGCAACACCTTGGAGATTTCTGGAGCCTGTGTGCACAGTGGGTGGCTGGCAGTGCCGAGGGCCGCTGCTGCCAAATGATGGCAAAATGGCACCATGGAGGACAAGCAAGATTGAGTTTCCCACCAAAGCCACTTACAGGTCTTGGCTCTGCTTCATCCGGTGAATATCCTTCAGGATGCCCATCATGTCTGCAAAGCTGCTCGCTTTTGAGAGAGACACACAGTCCTCATCTTCAGCCAAGCTGCAGGCAGCTTTGGAGTCAGTTTTGCAACATTCAGAGCTGGCAGAACAAAGCATGGAAACCGATGGAAGCTCAGGGCCTTCTAACTCAGCCTCCTCTGTGATGTCACTAATGACAAAGGAAGTTGTAGAGTGGAATGAGGATCCAAAACAAGGTAAGGGAGAAGAGACATTTGAGCTTCCTGAAGATAAGAAATCTGGCGTTAATGAAGTCGAAGCTGAAAAAGAAAACAATAGGTATTGGTGGGCACTGGAGCCAAGACATGACATTTTCTTACACAGGAGAGTCAATTGAGTAACAGTTGGGTTGTCACCATGACAACAAGACACTATGGATTCTGCCACAGCCCAGGAAGCACCCATGGCAGGAATCTATAGAAGCATTCTTCCCAGTTATTAAGGAACAGGCTTACAATGTGCTTTTTAGGTAACACTCATAGACTGTTCAAGGTAGAAGGAACTTCACAGATCATCACTTTACAGAAGAGGCCCAGTGAGACGAAGTAACTTGGTTAGGGGCACATATCTAAGTGGTAAAGCCAAAACTTCAATCTCTACAAGAAAAATTCAGTATTCTTTTCACTATGTTCCCCTTGGAGATGGCAAAGAAGACTCCCATTCCCTGCACCCTTCCCTCTGAAAGAAGTCTCTGCTTTCAGATTCTCCAACCCCTAGCCCAACATATTTAATGGGCAGCTAGTCTATTTCAGGTCTACTAGGGGGTCCCTATCTTAAGAGTCATCCTGGCCATTTCTCTCAAACTAAGACATTCCCCACTCCAACCCCACCACAATGACTGGAAACTCTCCCAGAGTCCTGATTTAGAGAGTTTAATCTCTTCTAATATCTCAATTATCACAAAAGAGAAAGAATGTGAGATTTGGGGAGTAGGAGAGAATGTGACTAGTAGGACAGTGGAAGGAAAAGGCTAGATACAGAAATCTGGAAAAAACCCACACAGTGTTCCTGGCTATAGTAGCTTCTTGGAATCCTTTCACCTCTTGACCCTATGCCCAATGTCTCTAGATGAACCCACCTCTATAGATGTGAAGCAACCACAGGGAGACCTGATTTCAACTGGGGAGGGGGGAAGAGAAGGAAAGAAGCAGTAATTCTTGGGAAATATCTTTTGTTGGCAAAGGGTAGGAAGAACCTTTACATTTTAGAAAAACATGAAAACTTAAGGGTATGGACAGAATTGGATATAGATATCTCAATGGCAGATGACCAACGCATAGACTCATACTAAAAGCCCAAGTGCTGAGTTGGTCTGTTAAAGACTTCAGCTTTTGCTCAAACTTGTGACGGGGAAGAAGGCCTGCAACAGAGTGAGGTGCACCTCAAACTTGTTTCCTTGCTGTTATGAAAAACCACAAAGGTGGGCATATCCAGGCTTCAGGAAATCCCTATCAGAGACTATCTGTCCTGTTACCACCACTGCAGAAAGCCACTGGCCTCCTTCTGGGGCCTAGCACTCGGATTCTTTGTTTCCTAGATTTGGTATCTGGTTCCTTGGCAGCTTTGGGGCTCTTACCTGCATCTGCTGCCACAATCTTGGCAATCTGGCTGCGTAGGTGAGTTAGCTCATCTTGTAGTTCAGTGGTTCGGCTCAGGGCTGGTAGGCCAGGCTTCTTCAAGGCCAGGAGCTTCTCTTCTGGCCCTCGAAGGTTGGGCACTGAGGCATTGCGCTGCATGACGAACAGTGGGCTGGGCTTCCATTTATGCCGCAAAGGCCGGGTGTCACTCCTGAAAGTTAGTAGAAAGGCCCATTTTAGCTAGCTGGGCCCACTTTCCTTTTCTGCTTAGATCTAGGAAGCCCATGTATTCCTCCTGCCCATGCCTCCACCCTCAAACACAAACTATCCAACAAGAAAGAAAAGAGAACAGCTCTGAGACTTTCCTTAGGCCCCAGGCTTAGGTAAAATATATTTGAGGTCCCTCCTGCTCCTTCCTTGGTCTGCTTGCTTCCAGTACAGCCCTTCTTAAAGTCATCCTTTACACTGCTCTCTTTTTCAGTGCTTTGTTAAAGGCCTATGGTTGGGGTGAAGACTAACTGGTATTCAATAAATAAGTCTAGTCATTGAATTAAAAGTTGGTATATCTCCATGTATAATACCCATTTAAGACACATGGACCAATGTGTCTGGATTTTGTTAAATGTTATGCCACATTATTATTATTAATTTTAATAACTTTTATGTAGTTTTCAAGGTTTGCAAAGTACTTCACAAATATCTCATTTGATTTTCATGGGGGAAGGAGAGGGAGGTGCTATTACTATCCTCATTTTACAGATGAGGAAACTGAGGTAGACAGAGATTGACTTCCCCAGAGTCACACAGCTAATAATTGTATGAAGCTGGATTTGAACTCACATCTTTCTGACTCTAGGTCCAGTACTCTATCCACTGTACCACTAGCTGCACAATGACTAGATAAAACTAGCTTCTTGTAGTGTCTTAAAATAAGATAACTTTCTAACAGGGGAGAAATACATATGTGAGGTGTACGTTAGAGCTAATGTTGTCCTCCCTGACAATGATCAGCTTTTGGTGAGGATGATATGCTAGGTAAATTTGATGAAATTCAGAAAAATGTTTAGCCGTCTAATTAGCAAAGAACCCCCAGAATTCATTTTTATTAAAGTTCTCTAAAATGTGTTTCTGATGCATAGAGGGCTATGTTTATGTCTAAGCTGTATAGGAATTAAATTTCCCAAGTGCCACTCTGATCTTGTCATCCCTCCTCTTAAAAATCTTCCAAGGTTCCTCACTGCATACTGAAAAAAGTATGAACTTATTAATTAGTTAAATTAATTAAAAAGTATTAACTTATTATACAGCCCAATTCTAACCTCTATTTCCAGATTTCTCATTTTATTCCCCCCTTCACATATTCAGCGCCTCAGCCAAACTGTAATACTCTCTTCTTCTATTCCCATGCTTTTGCTCACAAGCTCTAATGTGTTCAATGCCCTGTCTTCAATTTCTGCCTGCTAGAGGACACTCACAAACTACCCTTTTGTGGAAGTGGAAGGTCCACAGGTGTTACCAATCAAACATGTTTTCAGACTTTTTTGATGTATTGGTCAGTTATGCTTTTTTCCCTTTTAAATTCTATTTGTTAAATGGGATGGCTCTCTCAGAAGTAGTGGAGGAAAGATAACATAAGAGATAGAAGACATCAATAAACTTGCTTTAAAAAAAAAAACAACAGGCAGCTAGGTGGTGTAGTGGACAGAACACCGGCCCTGGAATCAGGAGGACCTGAGTTCAATCCTGCCTCAGATACTTGACACTACCTGTGTGATCCTGGGTAAGTCACTTAACCCTATTGCCTGGTTAAAAGCAAACAAAACAAAACCAGAAAAGCAATCAGGAGAACCTGAGTTCAATCCTGCTTCAGATACTTGACACTACCTGTGTGATCCTGGGTAAGTCACTTAACCCTATTGCCTGGTTAAAAACAAACAAAACAAAACCAGAAAAGCAATCTCTTGCAAATTTCTCAGCGCACTTCACCCGTGCCTTTTTGATGCACTTTTTTCATTCACTTCTGTATCACAGTGTACATGTATTTTCCCTCTATTAGACTGTAAACTCTTTGAGCTCCAGCAATGAGCACAAAGCCATTACAATATTACAACTCTGTACATGGCAAAGAGGCAGGGACTCTACAGTTCCCACACCTTTACCAGTCAAATTCTAGGCTCTGCTACACCAAGGCCTGGCTCCCTTGCTTTACCTGACTCGAGCATAGGTTTCCTCTTCATCTGCTGCTATCCAGGCAATATCAGCCAAAGTAGGGACAGGGGGAACATCGCTCAGATATAGGTCAGAGATGTTGGGTAGTGTCTATGGAAAGAAGCAAAGAGGCTCTTTGGTGGGGCTGGACCAAATAATCTCATCAGAGAAACAACTAATCAAAGGCATTCTGATGAACTTTTTTGCTGGGAGAGAAATCTGGTGATAGCACAAGTGTTCAGAAGTACCACAACATTGTTATTTTCATCATTAGTAAACTGCAACAGCTTGCTACCTCAACAAACACTTCTCTTTAAATACATTAGTGTTTGGACAGTATGTTTGGACAATCAAATCTATTTGCCGCAGGTAAATATGGCTGTACACAAATATAATATATACAAAAGCTCATATATGGCTTTACACAAATATATATATACATACAAAAACTTGTATTTTACACAAATGAAATTCTTCACTATCTGGCAGACTTGTGATCTCAATGTGAGCACTTCTTCCAATGGTGCAGATCACTGCCCAGCTGTGCCTTCTTGTCCTGCATGTCTCCTGTCCCGGTGCTCACGTATCTTTTACAAAGGCCCATTTGTCATGCTGTGGGGGCCTTCTTTTACATCTTTTAACATTGCCTGGACACCATCAGAACACACCAGCTGCCTGCTCACTATACCTGGAGCTCATTACATAGCTAGCCCACTGTCTTGGTCAACCATATTTTCTCTGATGATATCCATGAAATTCACCTGACAAAAAGTCACCTCAAGATTCCTTAAAATAGCAGACTTCTTGTAAATCACACTTCCTACTGTTCTATTCATAAACTATTTTTTGTAAGTCAGGATGCAGCCAATTTAGCAAAGACAGATGTATGAGTTTGACAGATTTACAGCACAGTCAGCCACTGCTCAAGTGACTTCCAAACATCAGGTGGCCTCTGGACATTTAAAACATCCAACACAACATGAGTTTTTATAACAGAGATAGAGAGATAGTCTCCCACCCCTCAAGTACACAGTGCTCTCACTGCTTTCTCCAACCTTTCTTAACACCCTCCAAAAACAAAGGATCTGTTTTCTGTTCCATTCCTACAAGGCTAGGAAGAGAACTCCAAGGCCAAATGCTGCTGTTGAGATGCAGGGTTTGGAGAAATCCCTCACGTGCTAAAACCACCCACTTCCCCTGGTTTCCTTTCTTCCTAATGTTATTCTCTCTTCAACAGCTGTTAATGACTTCCAGAGAGCCTGGGGAATGGGGGAGGAAGGGTAAGATCTGCTTTAGAACTAGCAAGATAGGAGCAGGGAGCAGCTCAGCAAAACCTAAATGCTGTAGACGCAGCCCAGATGAGCCTTCCCTTCTCCCAGCACTTTTGAAAACAAACAGGCCTATCAAGTTACTCAGATGCTCTTGTCCAGAGAAATCCCACCTCAGGGAAGGGAGTTCAAGAGTTTACTTAGAACAAGTTCTAAAGCTCAGATTAAAAATGAGCTCCTCCAAGGAATCTGCTTTGTTTTGAGGCCACACCTGAGGATGAAGTTCCCTGATATCAGCAGCAGAAACATCCCTGGTATGTGAGGCTGATGTACCCTCCATACCCCTGTATAAAACTAAGATGCCTATCTCACAAAGTGTGAAGAAAATACTTTCGAAACCTCAAAGCATATACTCATTTCAGTCGAGTCTGACTCTTCATGCCCTATTTGGAGTTTTCTTGGCAAAGATACTAGAATGGTTTGCCATTTCCTTCTCTAACTCATTTTACAGCTGATGAAACCGAGGCAATAGGGGTTAAGTGACCTGCCCAAGGTCACACAGCTAGTTGTGTGATATCTGATGCCAGATTTGAACTTATGGACATGAATCTTGTTGACTCCAGACATTAGGCCTTAAAGCTGCTCCCTCAGTATAGCTACTCCTACCACCAACTAACCTTGATTAGTCTCCTTAATTCCCTAGCTGGACTATCAGTAAACTCTATTACTGAATCAAGAAGCTTTAGCACAGATCTAAGGGAATGGTGTAAAATAGAAAGTTTAAGGTGATCAGGCTTACAAAAGCTAGGATAGTTTTTCCCCTTAACCTTGTCAAAGGGGTCTACGATTAAGCCCTACTGTTCTTTGCTTCTTCCAACCGTGAGGGCATCTTGGGGGAAGGGAGTGCATTGCCAAACCTCCTTCCTTCCTGATTGTTTTATTAGTGATGTGTTGTTTTACATTAGTCATTTTCAGATATACCGCTACTTGGGGTGGGGTTCCCTCTTCCCCCAATACAAATACTGATTCCTTCTCTGAAACAAAGAAAAACAGCTAAGCAAAACCAAGATGGTGTCTGCATCTGACAGTATATATAGAACATTCCTCACCCATGGTTTCCCCCCTCCTCACCCTTTCTACATTTGAAAGAACAATAGAAAAATCTTGCATACCTCTAAAGAATTTTTACATGTCAGTCAATCCCTAAAGATTTTCTGGCTCCTTATTGGGGCTATAAACAGAATAAAACAAACAAACACCTAAGAGTCATTTTTCACACCAAGTCTCACACTGAGCTCTTCTGACAGCACAGTTACTAGGGGCTGGCTCAGCCATCCTTTACTCATTCTTTCTGTCTTCCTCAATAACACATTTATGAGATGGTTGGCCAGACGTTGGTGCAGGCTCTGTACAACTGAGCTAATTGGTCTCTATGGGAATCAAACGTGTGGCCTTGCTTTCCCTGGTCCCACCGCCTAATCCACTGAGCTGAGGAGCTATTACAACCACCCCAACAATGTGCAACAATGTAATTTCTCAAGTGTTCACCTAGGGCTCTGTCTCTTTCCTGGAACTTCTTAAAAGTGCTTTGCCTTTATCACACTTTCTCTTGTATACTTATTCACATACCTATTGTATCTCCTTCTCCCTGCCGCAATTAGGTTATGAGCACATTTAGAAAGATTGTGTCCTTTTTCAGCTGTGCATCCCTAGCAATGAGCACTGGGCCTTGTTGATGTTTGCCACACTGAATTGTGAGTCACTAAATTCCTTGATTAATTACCAGTGTCCTTTAACCTCTCTGGGCTTCAGGTTCCTTATCTGTATAGATGGCTTGAGGCCCTTTCCAGCTTGCAATACGCTCCTGTCATTTGTGGTTGTAGTCAACATGTGTGCTTACAGTGCCCTGGATCACGTATTCCCTGTATGCAAGACTCATATGCTTCAATATACATAGCACACCTCCTAGCTCGGCGCTCCTTGTTAGACTGTCCTAGCCCCTGACACGAGAGGCAATGAATAAGGGCTCGGTATTTCACTCCTGAGATCAGTGAGACCAAGAGAAATACTTTTCAATAAGCTTTTACGTGTCTAATGTGTAGGGCATTGTGCTAGGCCCTGGGGATTCAAGGACTCAAGAAATGTACATTCCACTGGAGAGAAATGTGAATACAGCTAAATAGAAATGTTTCAAGAAGAAGAAAGTGCTAATGTGGAGGAGAGGGGAAGGTCAGGCAAGGAGGTCATGTGTGGTTGGGAGCTGGCACCTGAGTCACCCTCTGTAGGAAGCCAGGGCTTCTATGAGGCAGTGGTGAGGAGGAGGAAGGGGTGTTCCAGGCCTGGTGGACCCTTTGGGTAAAGGCAGGGAAGGAGATGGAAAGTCCTGTACTTTTGTAGCTCCACATTCTTTGCCCCTTAATGGGACGTATACTTCTTGAGATAGAGAAATGTTTCTTTGTAGTCTTGCACTCCTAGCACTAGCAGCATGCCTCATGTATGTAGTAACTTACTAAAAAGGCAGGCTGGAGCTGGATTATGGAGAGCTTGAATGTGGGGCTCAGTTTGTACTTTCCCTGGAGGCACTGAAGTTGCAAAAGGAGATGGGGATGTCCCATGGTCATATCTCAAATTAAGGAACAAAAATTTGGCAGCTGTGTCAGAGAAGGAAGATAACGGAGACAGGGATACCAACCGGGTTATTGCCTAGTGTGAGCAAGAGCTGATGAAGGCCTAAATTAGGGCAGAGACATTCTGTTCTCCTCACTCATCCCCCCCCATAGCCTAGACGTTGCTGAAGCCTATTGATTTCACCTCTGTAAAGGCTCTGGAATTTGCCCCCTTCTCTCCTTTGACCCTGCCACCTTTCTGGCACAAGCCCTTATTGCCTCAGACCTGGAACTGCAATAGCTGCTGGTGCATCAACCTGCTTCAAGTCTGTCCTCACTCCAATCTAGCCTCCATTTAGCCACTAAAGTGATCTTCCTAAAGTGAAGGTTAGAGCATGTCAGGCCCTCCCCCCCCATCCCCAACTCAGTAAACTCCAGGAGTACCCTATTACCTCTAGGAGCAAATACAAAATGCTCTGTTTGGCATTCAAAGCCCTTCCTAACCTGGTCCCCTCCTGCTTTTCCAGTCTTCTTACATCTTACTTCCCACCATACTCTTCAGTCCAGTGACCCTGGCCCTCTGGCTGTTCCATAAACAAGACACCTCATCTCTTGGCTCTGGGCCTTCTCTCTGGCTGTCTCCCATAATTAGAATGCTCTCTCCCTCCTCTGCTTCAACTACGGACCTCCTTGGCTTCCTTTAAAATTCCAAATAAAATCCTACCTTCTTCAGAAAGCCTTCCTCAAACCCCTCTTAATTCCAATGCTTTCTTTCTCTTAATTATTTCTATTTTTTTTGTATATAGTTTGATTTGTAAATATTTGTTTGCATGTTGTATCCCCCATTAGACTGTAAGCAAGGACTGTCTTTTGCCTCCTTTTGTATCCCCATGGCTTAGCACACTGCCTAGCACATAGCAGGCATTTAATAAATGTTTACTGAATTGAACTGTGTGAAGGGAGAGGATAGTTGTGAAAAACATCACGGAAGTAGGATTGACAAGATTTGACAACTGAATGGATATGGGGAATAAGAGAGAAAGGAAGAATTAAGGACGGCTAGTTCACAGCTCTAACAATGTATTAGAGGCAGTTGGGGCAGGAGACAGGTGCTGGATTTGGAGTCAGGAAGACGAGTTCAAATTTGACCTCAGACCTTACCAGCAGTATGACCTTGGGTAAGTCACTTAATCTGCATCAGTTTCTTCAACTGTAAAATGGGTATAACAGCAGTACCTATCTCCCTGGGTTGTTGAGACGATCAAGGGAGGTAAATTTTTATAGTGCTTAGCACAGTGTGCCACATAACAGGTGATTAATAAATGCTGTTCCCTTCTCCTTCCCCTGTTCCCTATTAGTGTTTGTCTTCCCACACAGCCTAACATTGACTATTTCAGTCTTTTTTCATCACTAATTTGCTGTGTCAGCTAAAACTTCATTAAATTAATTTGTACTTATTGTAATGATCTGAACTAATCTTTCATGTAGTTTGTCTGTAGTCTCAATTCTCTTGACGACTGTCCATATCTTTTCACTGCTTTTCTACTGGCAAAAGATCTTTGGTCTTATATATTCATGTCAAATCTCTATAAATCTTGAACATCAGACCTTTATCCTGAAAAGATTTTCTCCACAGTCTCTCAAGGATCACTGACAGTGACTCCAAAATCTTACCTGCCAGTTCTTTCAAGACCAGTGAAATAGTCCTGGGACAGGTAATAAACTCATCAAGGGCATGAAGGTGCTACCACCTTATCTGTCTTAGGTGTCTGTGCTAAGCAGTTGTTCTCTTTACTAGTCTGAAGAAGACAGCTAGGTTGCAAGCCTAGGTAACTGGAAGAATACTGGTGCCCTTGACAGAAACAGGGAAGTCTGAAAGGGGGGAAGGTTTTGGGGAAAAGAAAACAAGTTCATGTTGAGCTTGATGTCTACAAGGCAAGTGGAGATGCAACACCAGAGATCTGCACTGAACAAAATCGTCACTATTCTGAATTACATGGTGATCAGCACACCTTGAATTTCCTTTATGTTTTCTGAACTGCTTCCTCCAGTCTATGGCCTTACTATACAAACAATTCTTGCTCTACATAAATTTGCATCATGCAAATTCAGGGGTCCTTCTACTCCAGGCACCAAAGCTGGTGTGGCAGGGCTGCAAAAGGGGGAGGTCTGCTGAATGGTACCATTCCTTACCAGAATGGTAAGCAACAACTGGCTGTGTTCTTCAGGTAGGTAGGGCAGAAATTCTTTTCTCCATTTTAGAAATAGGGAAAATGAAATACAGAAGGGGCCAAGAATAAGTAATAGCTGATGTTTGTATAGTACCTTAAAATTTATAAAGTGCTTTACAAACATTATCCCTTAATCTTCACAAACCACATTGTGATGTCGGTTCAACCAGTGTTCTATTTTATAGATGAAGAAACTAAGGCCTCAGAGCCAAGAGCCCTAATATGAATGTGAGTCTTTCTGGGTTTCAAATTCACTTTTCCACTACAGCTGTTGCACTTCTCAGTTTAACAGGGACAGAAACCAGGAGATCCATTCAAAGGTGGGAGTCTGAGTAAAGACACTGAATACGTCAGATTTTTAAAAATGTACTGATCAGTCTTGCTAAAATTTTCCCTTTTCTTTTTAAAAGACTGTTTTAAGGGATGCATGTCAGGGAGGGGAGAAATCCAGGTAACATAAGAAAAAAATACCAATAAAAATCTATTTTTAAAAAAGAAATGGATGTAGTGAAATATGGTTCCTGGAATCACAGATTGGAAGGGACATGAGAGATCACACCCAATGAGGTGTGGTGACCTGACTGAAACTAAAAGACAATAAGGACGAGGACCAAGAGCCAGGCCTCCTGTCCCCTGGCCCAGGGCTCTCTCTATATCATGTTGCCTCACTCGACATCGAGACAAACTTGATTTCTTCCCAGCTTGGCCCTGCCAGCTTTCATGCCCCTTTACCTGAAAGGATGCCCGAGGACATGGCTTCAAGGGCAGGTTAGTCCCAATCCTCCTCACTACGCTTCGAGCAGCTCCATGTGGTTTGTTCTGCCAGAGTGGGATAGTCTATGGAAAAAGAAAATCACAACTCAGTTACTTTCCCCAGAGCCTGGCAACAAGGTTGATTTGTAGAAGTCAATTCTCAGTAATGTTTGTATATGATTATGCATAGTAATATTTAACTCCAGCATGTGAAATCATGATTTTCTTAACATAGGATTTGCATAAGTATAAGTAAGCCAGTTTGGCTATAGTCTGTGAAGAGTAATATGTAAACTGCCTGGAAAAAAGCCTGTGAAAGCCTTTAAATGCTAGACAGAGGAGCTTACATTTTATTCTAAAGGCAGTAGGGAGCTACTAAAACATCGTGAGCAGGGGAGTGATGTGGTCAGACTCAATTAGGGAGCAGAGTGACAGGAAAGGTGGTGGTATAGGTAGCTTGAAAAGTATAGAGTAACTGTGGAGAGTGATCTGAGAAGAGTGATCAAGTTTTACCACTTCTACTCAATGAAGCACACAACATGCCTATCCTCCCTTATGCTTTTAAACAGATGGAGTGTTCTTTGTTGCCCCACCCTGCCAACCGATGCAGATATGTGTGTAACTTACGGAATCTGTTTCCATCTCCGATATCACAGCTGGCTCCCACCTGGCAGGGCTTCTTCATCTTAGGCCATCTTTGGGAACAGCAGGTCTCTATACTGTAAACTGTAAAGCAAGAGTTCCCCCCCAAAGGACATTTAATGGAAATAAACATAAATCTTCTGGGTTCCCAGTGAACTAGGGAATGCTTCAGCTAGTGCCAAGGCCATTTATGTTGGTCTCTGCCACAGAAAAGGTGGTCTTTTTGCAATACTATCTTTGTGAAACCAGGCTGTTTTATGAAAAAGATTTATTGTTAACAAGAGCCCAGCTCTGGAAGTCCAGGTTAGGATGTGAATTCTTTGAGTGACCTAACACTTGACTTCATTGTTTAGAGCTTCTAGTGGGGTGGACAGTAACCTCTGGGAGCCTCGCTTAAAGAGTTAATTTGACGATGGGAAAGAAGAAACTTCTGTTACAGAGTGGAAAACAGAACCTGGATAAAGTAACTTGCCCAAGCTTGCTCTGGGGCTCTGGCCCCTTGGTGACCGTGACCTCAACCTGCCCTGGGCAGCTCTGGTCGTCTCTCTGCTCATCGCAACAGAGGAGGCAACAGCCGAGTGTAGCGGGAAGAACTTAACTGGTGCTAGGCCGAGAACCCGCATCTTTAAGGGTACGACAGCCTCACAGCCCGTCTCACAGCCCTAAGGACCTGCCGGCGACTACAACCCGAAGCGCTCCTTTACCGGAGGAAGCACAGACAAAGCGGGGTACGGGCCCCCCGAGCGCCGGCGCCCGTGGCCAGCCTTCCCGGGCCCGGACCCGCGGCCCTTCCCCCACAGACCCGCAGCACCCTGGGCTCACTCCCTGCGCCGCCGAGCCCACAGCCCGCAAGGTCAGGGCCGGCCCCCGCGCCCCCTCCGCGCTCAGGATCGCGCAGCGGCCCCGGGCCGCGAATCGGGCTCCGGGCTAGGAGGCGCCTGCCCGGGCTTCCGGCGGGCTCGGGGTCCCAGGCCCGGCCACAGCCCCCGGAGGAGCCGGGGGAGGGAGAGGGCAGCGGAATGCGTTGGGGCACGTACGGCGCGGGGTGACCAGGCGGGCGGCCTCACTCACCTCACGCCTCCTCCTCCCTGAATCGCCCGGACGCGGCCGGCCCGGCCCAGCCGCTCACTTCCCCTTCCGCTCACCGCCGTCCCGCGGAAGTGGCCCTTCACGCCTGCGCATTGCACGGTCCTACCCCGGCTCCGGGGTGCTCCTCGCTCCGGGCAGGGGCCGGACCGTGGCGCGTCCCGCTAGCCGACGTCTATGGTCGCGCTCTGGAGGGAGGAGCCGTGACCCCAGGAGATGAGCACGTGGGGAGTAAACAGAGGAGGCGGAGTCAGGTTCGGAGATAGCCACGCCCATTCATGTAAGCCACGCCCCCACTGGTTTGGCCCAGTTTTCCGACTGGCCGCTCAGCCCCATATCCCCCGCCCCGCCCCCGCCCCCGCCCCCGCCCAGCTGTCAGTAGCCGCTCGGATGGAGATTCTCCAGCCGCAGTTCCCGGCCTTTTAGTCTGGCTGAGCGTTTTACATTCATGTTCTCACATACGACAGTGGAACGACGACATGGCCAGGGACACGCCGGCCGCTCTGCCCACTCCCCGGATTGCGTCTTCGTCTGCTGACCGCTCGAATTGTTCCGTCCTTGTCTTCGGCTACGTTCGCTCAGCCCCGGCTCCTCTGGCCCCAAAAGCTTGCTCCTGTCCCCCGGCCCCGGTTCTGCGTAGATTCCGCCATTTTCTAGTAACCTTTGATTTCTTCCTCTTCCTCACCCCTCTGTCCAGGTGGTCACCAAACCACGACCTTTGTGACGCGGCCGTCCCCGCTCGCACCACCTCGTTTCAGGCACCTCTCACCTCCGTGGTCTTAGAGTCCCCTGCACTAGTGACTGTAGTGGCCTCCCAACTGGTTTCCCTGCTTCCAGCCCTTCCCTCCACCGGCATTCTAGAGCTGGAAAAGGGTCTAAAGAGAGCATTCGGTTAAAACCGGTCATTTTACAGACACGTCGTCGAGGATCGCTGGGGTCGAAACACGTCCACGGCCACGTGGGTAGCAACAGCAGGAACCAGAGCTCGAACCGAGGCTTCGACTCCACGACTCACACAGCGTAGTTCTCCAGGACGACCAGTGACATGGGGAGGGGGATGTCTTGACTTGCAAGTGAAATCCTCCCTCCCTCCCTCCCTCCCTCCCTCTCTCTTCTCCCTCTATCCACATGGAGAGTCACACCCTTACATGTTGGTGCTCTGTCCAAAGTATTCTGAATAGGGATTTTCATTGCTTATACTTCGAAAGATATCTTGGGCTTTGTGGCCAGATTTATTTTCCTTCCCTACTTTATCAATGTCCATCTTCTCCCACCCTACCCCCCCCAAAAAAAAAACCTGGGACAATTAAATTAACTCTTGTCTCATGAGGTTTTCATTTATGATTTCTTGAAATATAGCTCTGGGAAACCAGGCTTTGATAAAAAAATAAAGAATAAACCAACTCATTGGGACTCAAATGGAGCTACTTGACTATGCTTTTAAGCACAAATCACTCTGGCTGTCACTGATTAACCAATAATAGGTCTCAGCCCAAAGCTCCCTTTTGGATTTTGATGGCTCAGAGTGAGTGTAAATAGCAATTGTTTCTGTTCTGGCCAGAAACCTTGAGGGTCTTCCCCTCCCAGATCCATTCTGAGAAGGTAAACTAAACCATCTTTTGCCTCAATTCTTTTTTTTTTTGGTTAGGCAGTGGGATTAAGTGACTTGCCCAGGGTCACACAGCTAGTGTTACTTGACTGAGACTGGATTTGAACTCAGGTACTCCTGAATCCAGGGCCCATGCTCTATCCACTGCGCCATCTAGCTGCCCTTGCCTCAATTCTTACCTAGCTTTTAATCGCTGAGACAAACTGAGACCTTAAAAAGGCCAAGGTCTCCCACTGTATCCAGGGCCATCACCAGTCATCCTGATCTGTGTCTTGCCACTGGACTCCGAGGGTCTGGAGGGGAGAGTGAGGCTTTGCACAGCTCTGCCTGACTTAAATCCAATTTATTTGCAAGTCAAGACATCACTCTCCTGATGTCACAACAGTTCTGTCTCCACTACCTCAATCCTTCCTTCAAATTGTTACCTGTCCTTTGTTCTCAAAGATGATGCCGCGAAAGGAAAATGTGTTGGATTTAAGTGAGGGAGGGCTGTGCAAAGTCACTAGCTTCACTTTCTCAGCTCTCGAGCCATGTAGGTCCAGTGGCAGATACAGATCAGAATGACCGGAGATAGCCCTGGGTGCAGTGGGCGATCTCGGCCTTTGTAGAGTGAGGCAGCACCCATTTGGTGACTGAGGCTAGGTAAGAAATGGGGCAGAGAATGGTCTCTTTACCTAGTTAAAAAAATCAGTCTTTGAAGGGGAGACCCTTAGGGTTCTGGGCAAAACAGAAACAATTACTATTTACATTCACTCTGAGCCACGGAGGGCCCAAACAGCGATCAAGTGGGGCTGGAACTGGGACCTGTGTTGGCCAATCAATGAGAGCCTGAATGATCTGGGTTTGAAGCAAGGTCCTTAAGAAAAAAAAAGTTTCAGAGATCAAAATATACATTCCTTTGGGCAGAGCACCCGAGGGTAAGGGTATGACACCCTATGTGGACAGAGAAAAGGAAAGAAAGGAGCCATGTTGCCCAGCTGGCCATTTCCAGTCGGGCGCCCTCTGGGGCAGCTCCTCTTTCTGCTCCCAGAGGTGGTTGTTGTTTGTCCTTCATTTTAGAAGAGGACCATGACCTCAAGGAGGTGATGCTGTGACTTGCAAGTGAATTGGATTTAAGTGAGGGAGGACTGTACTCTTCTGGAACTGTCCTTCAAATCCCTGTCAAAATAAATCTTAATAACCTTCATTGGCCCAGTGGATAGAGTATTGGACTGGGAGTCAAGAAGATTCACGTTCAGATCTGACCTCAGACGTTTACTAGCTAGCTATGTGGCCCGGGGGTGAGTCAACCTGTTTGCCTCAGTTTCCCCATTCATAAAAATGTGGATGATACTTTGACTACTTATTTCACAGGGATGTAGGGAAAAAGTTTTGTAAGCCTCAGAGCACTACAGAATTGTGAGATCTTTTCAGTCCTAGTCCTCAAATACCTCAACCATCTATTCATTTGCTTATGTTCTCTACCAAAGAATGCCCTTTTCCCAGTTGGCCCAGTTGAATTGCTGCTTCTCCTCAGCACAATGCCATCTACATAGATGGTGTTCAATAAACGTTCCTTGTTGACCTGAATGAATCTAGAACCATTTTACTCTTTCTTGGTCCAGGTAGAGAGGACAGGGTTGTGCTTTTACACCCTTTCTTGAGTGATATATTTTAGGCTCTAGGATGTAACTGTAGGGATACCCCCATCCTTTCACTTTTCTGCCACTACCACTAGTCCAGGAGCTGTCACATCCTTGATCTGGGACCCCGTAACCCCACCTCAGGTGTCCCATAATACTCTGAGACTTGCTCTAGCCACAAGCTTTCGTGACATACCATCTCTTGTTCATCTTCATGAGTGCTATCTTGTCCCGAGTGTTCTGTGTCCCAAGGATATTTCCCTGCCTCTTCCGTCCTGACAGTGAACTTAGATCTACCCCCAGACACATCCTCAGCCTCAGAATTCCAAACCAAAGTTAAGATCCAATCATGAACTGACTTGGATTACAATCTCTTCATTTTACAGATGATATGGAGATCCAAATAAAATAATAAGAATTATTGTATTATTATGCAGTAATACAATGTAATATAATGTATAGTTATAATTATTATTTACATGGTGTTTTAAGGTTTGCAAAGTGCTTTAAATGATACTTCATTTGAACCCTGTGAGGTAGCTGCTATTATTATTCCTATTTTATGAATGAGGAAACTGAGGATCAGAGAGGTCAAGGAATTGCCCAGAGTCACACTAGTAGTAAGGGTCTGAGGCAAGATTCAAACCCAGATCTTCCTGACTTCAGAGTTCAGCACTCTATCCATTGGGATATCCTAGCAGCCTAGGAGAGGCAATGACTTTCCCAAGGTCATAAAAAATCACTGGCAAAGTCAGACCCAAACCTCCAGCTTCCTAATACATTCTCCATATTGAAGTTTCTGGGTTGCTATGTTTCTTTTGTTGTTTTGTTTTGTTTTTAGAATCCAGAGCAAGAACATTCCTGGAGAAAACTTTAGCCCCACTGGGGCAGGTGAGAGGTGAGCAGTGAATGATGCCCAGAAGACTAAAATTTGAGGACACAAACAAAGGAATATTTAATTCTGAAAACACAAACTGAAGCAATGCTGATGAGGAGGAAAGCAGGAAACTTGTGTCAAAAGAGAGGTGTGGAAAGTAGAAAACATCTTAGATCCTAACAGGAGATAGAAGCAAAGTCAAAGAGCAGAGGGAGCATGCACGCGGATGTGACTTAATTCTGGAAGAGCGCCAGAGACTGAAAGAGAGGAGTCAAGGAATGGGCCCACTCTTCAGGATGGAGGGGAAGATACCGGGTTATGCCACCATTAGAAAGCATCTCACCTTGCTTTGCTGCTTGCTTGCTGCTCGTCCTTGGTTATTGAAGAGGACCGTGACATCAGGAAAGTGATGCCACAACATGAAATGAATTGGATTTCACTGAGGGAGGGCTGTACAAAGTCACCAGCTTCACTCTCTCCTCCAGAGCCATCGGGATCCAGTGGCCAGATGTGGATCAGGACATCTGGAGATGGCCCAGGATGTGGTGGGAAGCCTTGGCCTTTTCAAGCTAAGGTCTTAGGTCTCAGTTTGACTGAGGCATCACCCATTCAGTGATTAAGGTTTAAGAAATGAGGCAGAGATTGGCCTCTTTACCTAATGAAATAAATAAATGAATGAATAAATAAATAGATAGATAAAAATAGATCTGAGGGAGGGGGAGAAAAATTTTAAACTCGAAAGTTTATGGAAGTGATTGTTGATAAATCAGAATAAATTAATTTAAAAAAAAAAAGATCTGAGAGGGAAAGACCCTCAGGATTTCTGGGCAAAACAGAAACAATTGTTGTTTACATTCTGAGATAATCAGGCCCAAATAGTGACCACGTGGGGATGGCTTGGGACTTATTGTTGGCCAATCAATGAAAGCCAGAGTGATTTGGGGTTAAAGCATGGTCCTTAAGAAAGAAAAAAA